GATTCAGAAAGTTATCAGAGTCATTCCAGGATGCTGGGAATGGTTTCAACAGCTGTGATCATAGAGCACCTCAACATACCATTTGTTCCAAAAATCTGGCCCTAGTTGCCGAAGACGAACGTTGAACATCTGAAGCTGATCGGATTAGGCAGTCTCGAGTTAAAAGCCAAATAAAAACGAGTAGTCTAAGGAGATCACTGAAAATAAGTGATTTTATAAGCAGTAACCAACACGGCTTCAGCTATGATAGATCTTGTCTTACAAACTTGTTTGACTTCTACGATAATGTAAAGTGAGACAGGAGTATGAGGAAATGATGGATTACATATTCTTGGATTTCAAGAAGGCGATTGATATTGTACTTCACAAGAGACTGAAAAAAAAACTGAGAAGCAGAGAACGAATGTATTACAGTGGATCACAGATTACCCTTAAAGAAAGAATGCAGAAGATTGCCCGAGGACAGGTAGATGACTGAATGTGAAGGAGTAACACGCGCGATTTCACAAGATCCAAGTATACGTGAATGACGTACTATAACAGATAGATGTTTCCTTGTTTTCAAGGATGAAGACAATTATGAGATATAAATAGGTCTGGGAAAATTGCAAGATTAGTCAGAAAAGTGGTTACTTGAAATCAACCCCAGCAAATGCAAGGTTATGAAAATAGGAGGAGGAAGAAGACCTGAAGTCACTCAAGGAGAAAGACCTAGGGGTGAGAATAATGCTCTTTAGTCATCTCTAAGAGTAACCTACAAGAATCTCAACAAGGGGTCATTAATAACCTTTTATTTAATATATATGAGGCTCATCTTCGATTATGCAGCATCAGCATGAAACCCACACCCGATAAAGCGTATCAAGAAGCAGGAGAAAATGTAGAGGAATGCAGCGAGATTAGTTGCAGAGCTAATATATGTATGAATCATGTGGGAAAGGTAAAGAAAACAAACCTGACAACATTAGGTGGTAGAAGAACCAAGAGATACAATATAATGGCATATGAAATTATCAAAACATTTAAAAAGGTGGACAAGGAAAGATATATTGGTCGAGAGGCAGGAAACGGGCATAGAAGCAGGTTAAAAGTACAGGCGAGTCAGGGATTTTAGGAAATATTTTTTTTAGCCTTATGGTGATCAGGAAGTGAAATGACCTGGGCGAAGTAGAAGCTTATGAATAGGTAGGACATGAAGGACCCTGCCATCTTTATTCATAGCAGAAGCAAACCCAGCAAGCCACTAGTTAAGAGGGAGACCCAAGAAGTGAGGTTCGGCTTTTGCAGCCTCTATAGGGTAGTACAAATACCTTTGTAGAAACATACACCCACCCCACTACCCACCCACCCACTCACCCACACACACACACACACACACACATACATACACACATACACACACACACATGTGGTACTGGAAAACCTCATGCATCAACATGTTAGTGACACTACCAGAGAGAGAGAGAGAGGGGGAGGATGAACCAGCAAGACCGGACATCGTGTTCACTCTGAGTAGCTCAAACATTGAGGATATCACATATGAAAGGTGTTACGCAGTGTGCTGCGGTAAAAATTTATATAAAAAACAATGTTTTATAGCTCCGGTATTATTCTGAATCCGGACGCGTTTTATTCTTGTCAGTCAGGCAGAGTGGCCAGGAGACAGGAGCAGATGAGGTGTTGATATGTTTAGTGCAGTAAGTTACTCACAGCAGAGGAAGCAAGATGTAATGATGTGAGTATATGGTGTTGGGTGAGGGTTTTTTTAGTGTATACTATAATTTTGTTTAAGTGCTCTCAGTTATCTGTAAGACCCTAGTATGGAGAGGCCTGTTTATGCGAGAGTACTGTATGGTGTTTTGCCTGCTGGTAACTAGTCTACCAGGCAGAGGTGAAGGAAGAAGGGGGGGGGGGTTTGAAACCTCCCTGTTTATATATTTTGTCTTCTCGCTAGCAGCAGTATGCTAGTGAGCTAATGTGAACTGGAGTGTGGTGGTTTACTGCAGTAGTGTATAAGTTTTATATAAGTTGCTTATTAATATAGATACATTTTTATATAGGTAGTTTTTGTGTCCTTCCTTATACTATAATAATTATTTGCACTCATGCTTCTTAATTTGTATGAGTACATGCTAGCCCAGGAGTGGCTGTTTTTTTTTTTTTAATATTAAATATTATAACCCCTAGACAGCAGTGTGAGCAGCCTTTAGGAGCCAGAACATTATATTTAAGTTACGAGGCACCACAACAGAAGGTTACGTAACAAAGGCCCCTTGGAGCCAGTGATCACGTGGTTCTGAGTTTTGAATACATTGAGTTACAAGTGGAGAGGGTAACAGGAGTGGGATGGGATAAAGCCAAACTATAAAAGGAGGGACTACACAGGCATGAGGAACTTCCTGCAGGAGGTTTAGTGGAAAAGAGAATTGGTAGGAAAGTCAGTAAACGAAATGATGCACTACGTAACAACAATATGCAAGGAGGCAGAGGAAAGGTTTGTTCCCAAGGGCCACAGAAATAATAGGAAGACTAGAACAAGCCCTTGGTTTATCCGAAGGTGTAGGGAGGCAAAAACTAAGTGCACCAGAGAATGGAAAAAGTACAGAAGACAAAGGACCCAGGAAAATAAAGAGATTAGTTGAAGAGCCAGAAACGAGTATGCAGAGATAAGGAGGGAGGCCCAGCGACAGTACAAAAACAACATGGCATCGAAAGTCACTTCCGGCCCGAAACTGTTTTATAGCCACATCAGGAGGAAGACAACAGTCATGGACCAGGTAATCAGGCTGAGGAAAGAGGGTGGGGAGCTCACAAGAAATGACCAAGAAGTATTTAAGAAGCTCAACACGGGATTTAAGGAAATAGTTACAGTGGAGACAGAAAGGACTCTGGGAAGACAGAACAGAGGGGTACACCAACAAGGGCAATACCAACAAGTGTTGGATGAAATACACACAACCGAGGAGGAGGTGAAGAAGCTGCTAAGTGACCTTGATACCTCAAAGGCGGTGGGACTGGACATCTCTCCGTGGGTCCTTAGAGAGGGAGCTGAGGCGCTGTGTGTGCTACTAACCACAATTTTCAACACATCCATTGAAGCTGGACAACTACCTGAGGTATGGAAGGCGGCAAATGTAGTCCCCATTTTTGAGAAAGGAGACAGGAACGAGGCACTAAACTATAGACCAGTGTCACTGACGTGAATAGTATGCAAAGTCATGGAGAAGATTATCAGGAGAGTGGTGGAGCACCTAGAATGGAACCAGCTTATAAACGACAACCAGCACGGATTCATGGAAGGCAAATCCTGTATCACAAACTTGCTGGAATTCTATGGCAAGGTAAGAGAAGTAAGACACGAGAGAGAAGGGGTGGGTAGATTGCATTTTCTTGGACTGCAAGAAGGCCTTCGACACAGTTCCTCACAAGAGATTAGTGCAAAAGCTAGAGGATCAGGCACATATAACAGGAACGGCACTGCAATGGATCAGAGAATACCTCACAGGGAGGCAACAACGAATCATGGTACGTGATGAGGTTATGAATGGTTTTGAAAACCTACAAGTTGAAGAGTTGAGACACTTATGCTACACATACGCCACGTTACACCACACAGTGGCTTCATCAGTCCTATATGCAGCAGGAAGGTGTAAGGAGCGGAGGAGTTGCCAAGTTTCAATGGATGTGTTGAAGATTTTTGTTACTGACACACACAGTATCTCTGCTCTCTCTCTAAGGATCCACAGAGAGATGTTGTCTGAGGTATCAAGTTCACATAGCAGCTTCACTTCCTCGGTTGTGTGCATTTCATCCAGCACTTGTTGGTGTATCCCTTGATGGTGTACCTCTCTATTCTGAATTCCTGAGGCCCTTCCTGTCTCCACTGTAAATACTTCTTTAAATCTCATGTTGAGCTTCTCACATACCTCTTGGTCATTTCTTGTGAACTCCCCACAATCCTTCCTTAGCCTGAATACCTGGTCCTTTACTATTGTCTTCCTCCTACTGTTGTTTTCCTCCTACTGTTTTCCTCCTGATTTGACTTTCGATACTATGTCATTTTCGTATTGTCACTGAGCCTCCCTTATCTGTGTATATTCGTTTCTGGCTCTTTAGCTGATTTCTTTATTTTAGTGGGTCCTTTGTCTTCTGTACTTTTTCCATTCTCTAGCGCACTTAGTTTTTGCCTCCCTACACTTTCGGGTGAATCAAGGACTCGTTCTGGGCTTCCCATTATTTCACTTTCCCTTGAGAACAAACCTTGCATTTTGTTGTCATATAATCCATCATTTCTTTTACTGTTTTTCCTGCAAATTCTCTTTAACACTGAACGTCTTGTAGGAAGTTCCTCATGCCTGTGTAGTCTCCCCTTTTGTAGTTTGGTTTTTCCCCGTCGTATTCCTGCTACCCTCTCCACTTATAGCTCAACTATGTAATCAAAGCACAGAACCACATGATCACTAGCTCCAAGGGGCCTTTCGTACGTGATGTCTTCGGTGTCTGAACTACTCAAGGTGAATTCTAGGTCCAGTCTTGCTGGATCGTCCTCACCTCTCTCTCTCTGGTAGTCTCTAACATGATGGTGCATGAGGTTTTTCAGTACCACATCCATCACCTTGGCTCTCCATGTTTCGAGACCCCCATGGGGCTCCAGGTTTTCTCAGTCAATCTCCTTGTGATCGAAATCACCCATAACTAGTAACTTTTGCTCTACCCATGTGAGCTCTTCTGGCCACCTAGGCTAGTGTGTCTACCATTGCTCTGTTGCTCTCTTCGTATTCTTCCCTTGGCCTCCAGCAGTTCTGTGGCGGGTTGTACATTACTGCAATTACCACCTTATGGCCCTCAGACTGGATTGTTCCTATGTAATATGTGTGTGTGTGTGTGTGTGTGTGTGTGTGTGTGTGTGTGTGTGTGTGTGTGTGTGTGTGTGTGTGTGTGTGTGTGTGTGTGTGTGTGTGTGTGTGTGTGTGTGTGTGTGTGTGTGTGTGTGTTCTCACCTGCTTTTGCAGACACCTGTCACCTTCTATCTGCCAGACGTGAACACCAAGCGGATACTCGCCACTCCACTGGGCCAACATGGTACCTCTCATGTTTAGATAGAGTCGACTTCTCATGGTCCACGAGCCATTCACGTTTTGCATCACAACATGACCCAGTCCGTCAAAAATCATCTCGAAATCTTCATTGTCACGGAAAGAGAAAACACGGTCTAACAAGGAGTCTCTGCACAGTCCGCGTAGTCGTAATACCGGATAAGTGGTGAAATTACACAAAATGCAAGTTTGTATTTCACACGGGCATGAGGCCCATTTATACGGGTCGTGATATACTGCTGCAATACAATGAAATTCGACTGTAGCTCTTCCATATTCTCTGAGAAACTGGTACCATGTTATTGGCGTTCCATCAGTGAGCTTCAACCACTGCAGTGTTGTGAGGTTGCCAGCAGCACCAATCCAGAACAGGTGCGTCCATAAGTCTCTACACTGATCCTTGTAACTAACAAACTTGTCGAAGAAAAAGGCATTCGTCTTGGCATCTTCTGGAATGATCAGTTGTCCCTTCAGTTTCCGACACCACGAGTAAGCACGTTTAAAGTTCATTTTGTGCGAGAAAAACAAATAAAAGTCACTTACGTAATCGCTACACAATTCATTCATTTCCACGGTTCTAATCGTTGTAGGACCCCTGACCGTAAGTTTATTGTTCTGCAAGTCAATAAGAGGTGGATTCAGGTCCGGTAAGTCCCTGCAGCTGAGCAGTTGGCTCATTTCAGCGATTTGTAGGGCGACGTCATAGATCCTGTAGTCAGCAATCTCTCCATCCAGTATGTTCAAGATGATGAAGTCTCCCTCCATAGAGTAAAGTTTCTGTCCCAGGACGAGGCGGCCTCCAGCTCGCACTTCAACACGCTGCTCGGGAGGCGCATCGATGTTGGGCGGTGTTAGTTCAACATAGTATGTCTGCGGGAGAACAAGTTAAGTATTAGCTGACAGAAGAGCAAGCCTTATCAGTGCACAGGCTTAATAATTAACACGGGTTTAGCGTTCTACTGCTACTACTACTACTTCTACTACTACTACTACTACTACTACTACTACTACTACTACTACTACTGCCACTACTACTACTACTAGTA